CTGGGCGTCGGACGCAGACATTGGGGATCAGATGCTGCTGTGATGAAGCGGATGGCGATGTCCTGGAGGGCTCAGCTGGTCAGGTCCCTTGGACGCATGTGCGTGACGAGACACGACGGAAAGCCACCCCGGGCCTCGTCTCTATATAGCGGCGCGCAGCCGTCGATGCGGGTTCCAGACGAAGCCTCGCGCTGAATCACAGCTTTGATATTCCCGGAGAGATTGATAACAGAGCATGAACGGCGTCCAGGGCTGACCAATGCCGCTGGCAGTGACACATGCACGCTCGAGGGAGGCGCGAAGTCACGTTTTCAGCGGCCGGGCAGTTTTTGGGCCGAAGTCCGATATCCGATACCCGACCACACGGAGTTTGGGCACCGTAATTCCAGGTTAGTCAGCCACCGCCGGCGTCACTTATTAGAGCTGCCAGGCGCCTTGATGCCGACGTCTGCAAGCTCCAACCGCCGTCAATCGCCGTCCCTCTAGAATGGTTCGGCTGAGTCGCCAGATCCTCAGGTAATCAGCTGTTCCTTCGAGGACGTGTGCAGACAGTCACCACCAACAAACGCTGTGCAGTCTGCGTCACCCCGAAGCGTGGCGGTTGCATTCAGGCTCAGCTACTAGTCACAGGCAGGATCTGTGCTACGTCATCATCCGGCTGGCAGAGTACATTCAGCTGCCGCAGATTGCAACGCATCGTGAATGTATACCTACCCAAGCTGCCTTAGTATCTGCTTACATACAGCAGATGGTTGATTCAGTTCCTGGCAAGGCACGCAGTCATTGATCCTGTGCTGCATGAGTGACAGTGGCACTGACAGCTATCGAATAGTGAGCCTTACGTGCACTGGGCTTGCCAGGGTGGGATGCATTGCGCAGATATTCACGTCCAGGTAGCTTAATCACGAGAAAGACTGAGCGTTAAATGGAGCTCAATGGGGCATAGCCTCACGGGTTTCTGTTTGTCGGACTCTTTGCCATCACGTCACTGTTGCTGCCTAGAAAACTGTGCATCAACTTGTGATACCTCATCGTGCTAACTTTGTACGTATAGATTGATTAGATGCTACAAGGAAAAAGAAGTACGGAGTTGAGTTGGTTGTTGGTTGAAGCGACCACGAATCCCGAGACTCGTGATACCCGAAGGCCCCACAAATGCTCTCAGCTGCGATCTCCCTTGCATCGAGGCGTACAGGACGTCTTCTGCATTCTTCACAATGCCAACGTAACGTGCGATATTTGTCCGCTGCTTGGTTGAAAAAGACAAAGAAGAGACAGGAAGCATCAAGTCATAAGGAGAGACTCTCTGCAATATGCGCTCACTCTTTATACATGTGAGTAAGCGAAAGCACCCAATTTCATAAACTATCAGCTTCAGCCTCCTTTCATCCAGTTCACGCCGCCAGGTCATCTGACGAATCTTCATCACGAAGATCTTATGAATCCATCTCTGCCAGTCATCAGCTCGTTTCACAGCTTGAACATCATGACATGCAAGACACAGCTTCTCTGCAATGATGCTTGACTCAGGGGGACACGGGCTGTTCCGAACCCACTAGGTATGCTGAATCCAGCGTCAAACACGAGCTGGTGATAGGGCAATCTACTTGACGCTCCAAGCACATACGACCATATCCATTGGAAAATACGGGATCCCGTCCGCTCTCCCAGAGTCAAGCTAATGAGAGGCAGATTAGTAGTCAGGTGGGTGACCACTGGCGAACACCGGCTGTTGTATGTCTTTTCTTTTTGCTATTTTTGCCTGATATATCAAGTCATTATTATTCATGACGGATATAGTAGCTACAGAGGTATGTTGACTACCTTATGTAGAGGTGGTGAGGGTATGAAGGTTCAAGGATTTAGGCGCTTGCAGCTGAACATCTCGCTATGGATACACACTCCCAGGCAGTGAGTGAATAGCTCTAAGAAAAGAAAAAAGCATGTTTAGTTAGTGGATTGTACAAATTCCACCCCGATTGCTTACAATAGCTTGATAATTGCTGCTTGCATATAGGATTGCTGGTAGTAGATTGAAAGAATGAATGCTTGCGGTATCGAGATGAACCGCCAACTGACCGCAGTTTTACTCAATCAGACACATCGAGTCTAATCATGAGATGATACTCCTTCTCATGTTTGAGTAATCTTCACGGAGTTCAAGAACGATGTGATATGAGGGGTGGATTTCTGTTTCCTCTCCACGTCAAGCGAGATGGATTGATAACTTCGCTTAGACTGTCAACTTCGAGTCCGTGGGAAGTACTGTATCAGAATAGGTATGATTCGATCCTGAAGCGTTTGCAATGTATTTGGAGTACTTCCCCAACGGTCTCTCTACCAAGGCTGGACACCGTCCTTCTTGACAACCCTCCCTACATCCGCATCCCTCTTCCCCTCAATGACCCCCTGAACAACCTCTGCCCCAACTCTCGGGTGAATCGCACCAAGCTTCTTCAACAGCTCATGGTCACCGCCAAGTCCCGTCGCCAAAAGACCAGGACTCACAGCCCACACCTTGACCCCGTCATTCTTCAAGATCCGCGCCCATTCGCGCATCATCATGTTCATGCCCGTCTTTGCGCTTCGGTACGCACTCCAACTGAGTTCCTGCTTCGGCCATCCCTTTGCGGGAGGCGTGTCCGTGAACCGCTCCTCCTTCTCGTGTCCGGTCAGCGTGGATGTCCCGCTGGCAATAAAGAGGAGTCGCGGATCGGCCGATTGGAGCAACAATGGGATGAATGTCAACGTCGTTACATGTGCCCCAGTGGTGTTGATTGCCCATGACTTGTTCCACGCTTCTCTGGCGGTCATTTCTCCCTTGTGAAGTTGCCGGTCAAAGTTGGCGCCTGATTGCGTGTATTAGATTACCTCAAATGGCATTATATGATATGTATGCAACTGGAGGCAAAAGACGTTGTACCTGCGTTATTCACCAGGACATCAAGACGCCCATACTTCTTTTCCACAAATGCATATGCGGACAATATGGACGCGTCATCTTCGACATCGATCTTGACAGGTTCGATTGTGGTGGTCGTATCGCGCGCCTCGGACAACAAGTCGTTCACAACCACTTTCGCCTTCTCGAGGGACCGACTGCCAAGCAGTATGTTATAGGCTTTCGAGGACTGGTACAGGGTTCGAATGATCTCCAGGCCCAACCCGGTGTTTCCACCAGTCACAAGAACTACCTGAGAAGACATTTTGAAGCGAGGTCAAATCTGTTACCAAGTCTACAGCACATCATCAGTATACCCAGCAGGATGGCTTCGTCATTTATAGTCTTGTCTGTCTGTTAAGTCAAAGATCACAAGTCCAGTTCCTTGAGCTGCAGGTGAATGGAAATACCGGATTTAAAGGATCCCCCATTCCATGGAGAGCTCTTCTAGTGATTTAATATGTCTTGCTATGATGATATAATATGTCTTGCTTTGTAAGAGTGTACCGTAAACAGTCACGTTCAAGCGCTCTGTCCACGGATTTGCCGGAGTTCAGATGACCGGATACATTATCAAGCCATTGAGCGATGAGCAGATTTGCGAATCTGGCTAATCGGAAGCACTGACCTTGAGGTCTCAGGGACCCGATTAGGAAAGGAAGTTAAACCTATCTGTTTCTGTTTCTGATAATACTGTATTATCTGAGAAAAACGAATCTATAAAAAGGTTGTGGCCTGACCTCTAACGGGACCACCCCAATCCAGAACTTGACCACCACTGTAAACCTCCAAGGACTCGCGTATATCCCCATCTCTCAATCAGCTCTCCTTTCGAATTAATAGTGAGCGGAGGATGTGGTTGACGGGAGGAGGTGCATTGGAAAATTCTCAAAGGGAGAGCACAATCTCTATGAACTCGTCATCGATAACCCTATACCATAGTGCTCGGATGCCCAATAGCACTCACTACATAGGTACTGATATAGGCGTCATATAAAGAACTTGAGCCAGAAAGAAAGCCGTTGATGTATCTCGAGGGAAGAGGGCGCAACCAGGCACATCAGCCAGCATTATAATAGCATCAAACACTACTAATTGCGCAGCCCAGACTGCTCAAGCAAGGGTTAGTAACATCACTCAAGGCGTTGCCATACATATCTTGCCTAAGACTTTATAAGACGTATGAAAATCAAAGCACCTGAGAATAAACGATGAAGGAATAAACAATAGATATGGGGAAGTGGGACAATCACTATGAGAGACAAAGTAAGCACTAAAATACGACGAATTGAACGGCGGCGTTCTTCGCTTGCCTGATAACTATGATGAGGGAAAATTAACGGGCTACTCGAATATGAAAAGTATCAGAGAATTCCCCTTCAATATTCAAGTCAGTTTCTACTTTCATAGTCCCTCCTGCAACGCTCTGATGTCCGTTCCTGCGAAGGAGAAGAACCATCTCATCAAGGACAAGAGACGTACCTTCACGGATAGTTACAGGGGAAATAACAGCAAGTATGTAATGAGAGACAAATTGTAGAGTGAGATGCAGAGACTTTAAAGAGAGGTGGGTATCTGCACGAGTGTATCGATGTAATGACTACGAGAGAGAGGAAAATGTTGGCATACATACAAGTCTACACTCAAAACCCGTGCCGAGGTATTGTTTAATACGTGTTTTCGGAAGAATCAATCACGACCTATGAGTCCAGGTGGTTTACTGGGTAATCATGCCCTGATAGGTGAGTAGTTCGGGGCCGTCCAATGCGATCCTTGCCACAAGCAATGTCTTAAAGAAAGCGAGGCGAAGGTGGACCAGACTTTGAGGGCATATATATATTCTTCGGAGGAACAACAGCAGGATATCAAGAAGAAATTATAGCTGCCACACGTATATCAGACTTCTCATACCCCTTGTCGATCGATGTCTTCGTTCCGCAACTGAACACGGTAGACTGAGAGCGAAGTTCGCCGTCAGTCGGCCGGCCAAATCGGCCCCACATCACCGGCTCGGGCACCGAATGCAGGGAGGCAAGAACACCTGAACGACCGGAGCTTCGAGAAGAAGCAGTCATGTGAACACGGTTGAAAGTCACAGTACGGGAAGCCCCGTGCGGTTCACGTTATTGCTCTATAGGAGGGCTCACAAATCAAACGAAGTATCCTACCTTGCCTACCTGATCAGACCTTATGCTGATGTACAGTTCGAAAAGATGCTGGTGTAATAGTAACCTCCTCGTTCTCTCAAATGTTCATCCCAGGTAGTGTAATTTACCGAGTATTACTATTGAGTTTACAGTAGTAGCAACACCCGAGATCTTCCAACACCCTCACTTGGACTTGGCTTCACCTGATGCTTGATAGGCATGGAATACACGACTCAAGACAGCTCTCCAAGCACACCTCATGACATCTCTCCAAAGTCGACGCTCATCTCGCCAAAGAGCAACTTACTCTATTCAGCCTTGACCCTCCGAGAGAAGCTCGCGCCATGACTAAGACCTTACAGCTTACCTGTCAAAAAAACCAGATAGGTCAATTCCATGCGCGAGTCAAGGTGTCAAACTTCGCGTCTGGAGAAAATCCCTAGCTTCCCTACAGCTGACGGGGGTCCATTGACAAGTTTGCCACCCTCCGAGGCCCCGATGAACCCATCGCCACCCGGGAATGTCTTTCCCCCCCTTTGGAAAATGCGGATCGTGCTTTCGTTTCGGGCAGTCTTTCGAGAAAATCAAAGAATGTCATCCCGTCGTCGCATCGGTCGTATATCTCGGCTCACGCCCCCCCAAGGGCTGCGCCGTCTGATGCTAGACTCAACTTTAAACCGAGATGTCAAGATCAGCCATGGATCGGACAATCCGTCACTCCAGCAAGAAAGGCCAGGAAGCCTTCGTTGCGTAGAACCAAGCCAAGACGCCGGCATTGAGTAGATCCAAGAACTACTCGATAGTAGTATACTTCTCCGCACACGCGGTGGATAGTGCAGGTCTCCAACGACAACTAACAACTAGAGCCCCGAGCTGAACAAACTATGGAGTGCCTCCATAAATTAGCTGTGTCCATGGCTGCTTATCGCACCCCGTAATGCGGTACAAGTTGCACAGGCGCTAAAGGGCCGCGATGCAGTACACTCGTACGAGGGGCCCTCAAGGGGCACCTTTGCTGAGGGGCGAAAAGGGGCTGCCTGGCAAGGCTGATGAAGCAGAGGATCGTTCATCTCGACAACAATGAAGCCGTCGTCAAACTAAAGTGACGTGGCGGATAGCGGCCCACGCTTGGTAGGAGGACGTTGACCAGATAATGATTCCTGGTGGATATCAAAGCCCACATTCCGATCAATCTTGGGCCAGAGGCGCAAATGAAGGGGTAGGTGCTCGTGTCATGACCGCCGTGTGTACGCGTGTGCAGATAAAACAGGCCCGAAGCAGAGGCGAATCTACTACATGAAATGCCACAGCAAGCCGGCAATGTGCACCGGCAGACGAATGCTGTTCGAGAAAGGGTCAAAGACTAGAGACCCAGATTGTCAGAAGCGCTCCGCAAGAGTCAATGGAGGGGTTGAACAATGACAAGAGACCCATCGAACCCCCCACGTTGCACTGTCTGGAGCCATGAACCGCCCCAGTTTCGGAAGTTGGCTTTGGTGTTGCCTGTTGCAGTATCCAGTGCAGCAGCCGCTGGCGGGGAATTAGAGGAGGAGATAGTATCTTGCTTTGACCTTGACAAGTGCTCCAGGTGCTCCAGACCCCACCTCGGGAGTGGTTTTGACAGCATCCCACCAGCAGCCCCAGCAAGTGGCAGTTGTGAAGGTGTGTAGTAGTAAGCCATTATGAATGAGTGTAGGCAGACAAGATGCAGCAGCAGGGGCGGCAGTTGACAGCGTGACCTGGGAGGAGTGTCGTAGCGAGGAGCTGCGCATGAAGCGTCGAGAACGACCTGCGATATTTAGGCAGTTGCTCCGAACGAACGCTGCCGGCCTGTCAGCAGGGTCCGCGGTGATCATGGTCATGTCATAGCACACATATCCATCATGGCCATCCATCCATAACTTGCTGCCTGTATCCATTGTATCCATACTGACTCCTGGAGGCATCGTGTAGTAGGAGCGAGATAGTAGATAGATCCAGCCGCGGCGGGCCCCCCGTTCAGTCCAGGTCCAGCCTCGCAGACAGGAGGCAAGAGTTTGCGAGGAGAGGCCCGGCCCCGTCCTGTCATGGCGGTCCGGTCTCCAGCAGGGAGCAGGGAAGAAGCGACGGGCTCGCTCTTGGGGCTCCAAAGCCACTTGGCGAGAGAGGGCAGAAGCAAGCCTCATTTCCCAAACCGGTTTCTGCACAGGAGTGGCGAGGGATTGCCGGACTAGGCCCAGAGCAGCCTCGAAAATCATGCCGAGGACGCGTAGTCAGCAGCTCGGCCCGCATTTACCAGAGCGCCGTAGGAGCTCGGCGGAGCGACTACCGAGCGGATAAACGTGGATGCGCCGCATTGCAGTAAGGGGGAAGTTTCCCCGCTTAGTCAGTACCCGAGCGATTGCTTGGATGCTTGGATGCATCTACAAAGGCTCATGCGCCTAAGCGGGCATCGCGGCTCTGGCGTGCAGCGTGCCAAACCTTGGCCGAAGCGTGGCGTCTGCCTATCCGATCCCCCTGCACCGCCTGGCAATCGCCCGCTAACACGTGGATGTGAGCTCTCACCGATGTTGCATCCGGTGTCTCTGGTGCATTCGCTTATGTCGATGTGCTTCTGCAGGCTGAGACCGCGGCGAATCAGCGCCCGCCAGCCGCGCAACCTGCCCACTTACGTGCATAACGCCGCGTAAAGTACTTGTCTGTGTGCATTCGCCGTACATGCATACGTGCATATATATTCCGTACATGCATTCGTCGCTC